AGTCACTAAATGAGAAGGCTGGATATGTCATTTGAGGGATGGAGCCAAGTGTTTCAACCCAGCGTTCATAACCATCTCATAGCAATGTCTCCTTGGTGCTTGGTGTCCAAGTATGTCCCCATTCAGGACAACCTAAAGAACACTACTTATGTAAGAGACAGAAAGGGGACTGGAGAGGTGTCTCAGCTGTTAAGAACACTGACTGCTCTTCATGAGGTTCAATTCCCAACACCCACATGGCAGCTCACAACTGTCTGTAACTCTAGTCCCAGGGAATCTGACACCCTCACATAGACATACATGCAGGTAAAGCACCAATGTACATAAATAAATAAAAAAGAAACAGAAAGAAATGTACATAAACAAAGTTAAAAAAGAGACAGAAAGAAAAAGACAGACGTGGTGGGCATGCCTGTAATCTTAGTCTGAGAAAGCAAGATTATAGTTAGAGGCCTGGCTAGCATACATGAGACTCAATCTTGGAAAAATAAAATAAAATAAGATCCAAAAAAAGACACCACAAGTTTCTCCTCTGGTTTTTTACAAAATGTTCTTTCTTCTTTTCTTTACAGCTGAATAGTGTTGATAACAGAATTTCTCTTTTTCAGAGGCTTATTTTTATTTTAAATTATGTGTATGTGTGTGCACGGGTATATGCACACAGAGCTTAAAACTTGACACGTGCATGTGCACACACACACACGGGATCCCACCCTTCCACACACGTGCGAGTGCACACACACACACACATGGGATCCCACCCTTCCACACACGTGCGAGTGCACACCCACACACACGGGATCCCACCCTTCCACACACGTGCGAGTGTGCACACACACACACGGGATCCCACCCTTCCACACACGTGCAAGATACTTAATTTGTAGTTTAAGAGAAGTGGCTTCATATACATCTTGTATTTTCTAAAGAGATGCATCTTTTTAGCATATGAAAAAACTGTACCAGGAAAATGTAAATTTTAGTTAAGTCTATCACTCACTTGACATGCGTGAAGCTGAGGTTAGGTTAATCCATCACCGGGTTCTCTCATAACTCCCTTCAGTTTTTTTAACACCTATGCAACAACAAGATCACTAGTGGGCGCTAAGAGCACACTTGTTTGACCCGAAGTTCTCGGTACGAGCTTTCCATGTGGGCTGCCCTAGCCTTCTGTTAAACCAGCCCTCTAACTGAGTGGCCCATTTCATGTGTAAATAGTAGGGTGACACTTAATGCAGCTGTTTCCGTTTTCATACAAGTCTGTGGTTTGGTGCACTAATTGACCCTCTAAACACTCCCTTTCAAATGTCTTTGGGTCAGAAGACAGAAAACTCCTCTAGAACTTTCCAGTTCTGTGATAAACCATGGCAATATGGGAAGGTGGCTCTACAGAGTTTCGGTAAGAAAACAAACGGAGATGGGATAGTCTGGGGACCCACTGGTGACACTTTCTGGGTGTGGTTGGACTCAGATTCACTGTCAGGGTGGAAGGGTGCCTGGGATTTCCAGGGGCCTTGGAATGCTGGTTTATTGAGTTGTATTAGGTGGGAAGTCAGAGCCCAATTACAGGGAAGACTTGAGATGCAGTTACAGTAAGGAATGTGGGAGAAACCCTGCCTCTGATAAATCAGATTGAAAAAGGAAAACAAAAACATGAGAGAGCTGGTGGCTTTCACTGGAATCCAGAGAGCCTTTTTGTGGGATTGCAGCCTCTGCGTCTGGTGCCCATGAAGCCATGCCCTATGGGTAGTGAAGGACTCTCAGAGCTTTCTTCCACTTGTTGGTGATGGTCTCCATGCTTCAATGACTGCCTGGCTTCCTTTGGAGTGGATAATCTTTTTACTAATTTACAAATCCATGCTATATGCCTGTAGCCCCCCCACCCCAGGTAGCGTTTTGTGTGTACTTGTCATCAGAAAATGATAAAAATAATTACTTAGTGTCTTGTAGCTTACATTTTCAAGTGCTATATGTACCTCAATCTTCACAATACACCTACAGGAAGATTAATGCTTCTCATTCCCAAGTGAAGATGGTGAGAGTCACGTGGGTGAAGGAACTCATCTAGAAGGAATGTGTACCTGGGTGTTGTCCTCCAAGATAGAAATTTTGACATCTTAGCAAGTCATTTTACTACTTTGTACCTGAGTTCTGAAATCTGATTTTGCAAATGTGTGTGTGCCTCTCTCTCTGTATGTGTGTGTGTAGGGAGGGAGGACGGGAGGGAGGGAGGGAGGGAGGGAGAGAGTCTGTTTGCACTAGTGTGAGACCTGTGTGCAGACAGGTCATTGTTCAGCTCTGACTGAGCTGTCATGTGTAGAACATTAATTCTAATGGAGTCCCAAGAACATAAATTTCATAACTAGTTTGCAGTGCTTGGGGTTTTTAAATCTTACATTGTACTTAGCACAAAGCTAGTTTGGGATGTTGTAAGAGAATATCTGATAACATCCAGGTTAATAAACCCCATGATGAAACACTCTGTAGACTTGATGTTTCATTCAAGAAGAAGATATAGTCCCACAAAATTGTTTGTGCAAATGCTCACCTTATATGAATGAAAGAAGAATACAAAAGCAAGAATTCTGAGCATCATATTGTAATATAGTAGCAGGTTTATTGAGTATTTGTACCAGGCATTACTTTCAGCTCTGTATGTACAGTGACTTCCATACTCATAAAGAGACTATAAGGTAGGTTCCATGTTTACCCCCACTTTACGAATGAGAGGAGGCCTAAGAAACCTTAAGTAGGCTTGGTGCGATGGCTCAGGTAAAGGCACCCATCATCAAGTCTGAAGACTGGGATTTGATTTCTGGGACCCACACTGTGGAAGGGGAGAACTGACTCTTGCAAATTGTTCTCTGACCTCTACACATGTGCCATGCAACTCCTCCATACATGTATACATACACACAAAATGAGTAAATAACATGTAATTAAAAAGATACATGTGTGAAATTCTCAAGGAATGAATACAAGTATTATAATTAAAACAGAGCAATGCCAGTAGCAGTAGAGCTAGGGATAGAACCGTGCAGCCTGGCCCTGTAGCACAAACAGTAACTGACATTGTCAACAGTACCAGCCCCGTGTAAAGCACCCTGTAGGGCTATCCCACTGAGCCCACAGTAGTACCAAGGAAGCGTTCGTTTACTGTTCTCGCTCCAAAGTCAAGAACCCACGCGTCACACAGGCTGAGACAGTCCACTGTCTCTTCAAGGCCAGTCACCCTAGAAGACTTGGTGATGTGCAGTGACAGACTCTAGCATGGGAATGACTGTGGTAAGCTCAACACCAATGGTGTGTTGGTATCTGGTATCTGAGGGTTCAGAATGTTGAACACCAAGTTTTTGTGTTTGTTGAAATCCTTCACCGTCTTAAATAGAATAAGGTGTGAGCAGGAAGTGGCCCAGATGACTATATCAAGAATATTTTCAAGACTACTTCAGGACATATAGTAAGAGAAGCCAACACTTTCAAGATTTACAACTATGCAAGCCCAAAGCTATCACTGAGTGGTAGATCACTTCTCTGGCATGCTCAAGTCCCTGGGTTCATCCCTAACTGGTACCTCCTTCCACCCGAGGGGTACACAACGGGCCTTGTCTGAATGTGCAGAGAGAAGGTGGCTGCCCGGCTGATAGCCTCCGCCTCCCACTCAATCTGGGTTGGCGGTGTCCTCCGTGGAGTGTAGAAGCTAACGTATTTATCGTGATCCGGGCAGAGTGCCTTGCTTTTAATGTATCAGAAGTGGAACACCAAGCTCTTTAGGTACATTCAGAAAGTGATAACCAGGATGGGCTCCCGGGGAAAGTCAGGGCCAGTGATGAGATACACCCACGGAGTCTCTGTTTCTCCTTCCTAGCTGTGTGAACTTGAGGAACTCACCCTTTTGGGGGTTGTTTCTTCCGTGTGGAATTGACAGTTGTTTTCACTACAAAGTGTGGAGAATTCAATGACCTATAATAAAAAAACACATGTATGATAAGCATTAATAACAGTACTGTGTGTAGCTATTGTCACCTTTGTTGTGACCAGAGCTAACAGCTGGTTTGCCATGACAGGAAAGCAAATTTATTGTTGTATTCGTTTCTTGTGTGTGTGTGTGTGTGGTATGTGTGCTGTGCACTAGGAGGATGTTCCATGTCCTGCTCTGGTGCCGTCTACTTTATTCCCTTGAGACAGAGAATAGCACGGACCCTGGAGCTAGGGAGGCAGTCCACTAACCCCAGAGAGTCTCTGAAGGCCACACCAGGCTTTGTACACACACACCAGGCCTTTTACACACACACCAGGCTTTTTACACATACACCAGGCTTTGTACACACACACCAGGCCTTTTACACACACACCAGGCTTTTTACACACACACACACACACACCAGGCTTTTTACACACACACCAGGCTTTTTACACACACACACACACACACACACACCAGGATTTTCACACACACACCAGGCTGTTTTTGTTGTTGGGCACAGGGGATTGGGATTCAGGTTCTCGCGTGTGCATGTGCAGGAAGTGCTCTCACCCACTAAGCCACCTCCCAGTCTTTTCCTGTAATAACATCGGAGTGCTGGTCCCCTCGGTTCCTTAGGAAACTGTCGTAAGAAACTGTACTGGGTACCCTTGGAAGAGTTTTCAGCTGGGGAGAGGGAACGTGTAGGGAGTGGGTAGAAGTTGACGAGGAAGACCCAAACTCAGAGACAAGAGAGAGGCCTCAAGAAGAGAGACTATGCACAGTAAGCGCAACAGGAGCGGGGCGCGCCCCTTGCACTCTGCAGGTCTCCATCGGGATGGGATTAATTTACTTTCCAGCACTGACCGTGCGTCATCCAGCCCGGCGGGGCGGCCTGCTGCCCACTCCCTGTCCCCAGCTCCCTTCCACACCCCGTTCCGGAGCCCGGCTCGCGATTGGCCGGTTCGGTCCGGGCCTGTCGCGGATTGGCGCTTGCGGGCCGGGGCCACCGAGTTTAAAGAGGGGGCGGGGGCGCGCTGCCCAGCAGCGCTGCTGTCCCCGCCGGCGCACCTGTCTTCGCAGCAGCTCTCGCAGCCTCTCCCGCTCCACCTCGAGTGTCCCGGAGCCAGCGGCTCCCGAGGACGGCAGAGGGCAAACCTAGGGCAGATCCTGTCCTGGTCGGCTCAAGAGGCACAGTCCGTGAGGGGTGAACGTCGCTGGGGCCACCATGGTAGCCACGTGCCTGCAGGTGGTGGGCTTTGTCACGAGCTTCGTGGGTTGGATCGGCATCATCGTCACCACGTCTACCAATGACTGGGTGGTGACCTGCAGCTACACCATCCCAACCTGCCGAAAAATGGACGAGTTGGGCTCCAAGGGGCTGTGGGCCGATTGCGTCATGGCCACTGGTCTCTACCACTGCAAGCCCCTGGTGGACATCCTAATCCTTCCTGGTAAGGACTCTGAGCTTGCAAACAACTTTCAGAGGCAGGCTGGGACAGAAATGGGGGTTTTAGAATGGGTTCTCAGAAGTTTGGGCACTCAGAGACCTCTGGGTAGATTTTTGACATCTCCAATACTACCTTGTAGGAGAATTAGCCCTACACAACCACCTGTTGGTCTCAGTTTCTTTATTTGGAACATGGGGTAATAAAGGCAATTTGGCCACTGGTAACACTGGTCAATGGCTTTGAGAATTTAATGAACATGGTAGGAACTTACTATTGTTAATTCCCATTGCTTAGTCATCCCAGGTTCCCAAGCTAATCGACCAAAGATACTGAAGGATGGCCCCTGCCGTCTCTGAGGGGCTTCTGATTCTTGCCACTCTGTAGATCTGAGGAGGAAAAGCCGGTGTCTCAAATAAGCATAGGCTGAGCTTCTATGGGACTCAGAGGCATCCCAGCGAGGTTAGGCTCACACTCAAGGACTCTCTGTATTGGTCAGATTAGTGAATTTCAGTTGGTTCTCTCAGGTCTCAGGGTCTGTCTTATCTGACTGGTCACCACCTGAGGTCCTGGGGTCCCTCAACAGCAGGCTGCAGTGACACCCTTCCCCTGTTAGAGAGACCCCCTTCCCCAGTTCCTCCAAGCAGGCTGCTGGGTATTGAGAAAAGCCAGCCCCCAGAGAGAGGAGGTCAGTGCTGAGGGTCATTCCAGGGCTTGCAGCTGTGTCCTGGGAGTGTGTGGGAGGACTGATGAACCTCTGAAACTCTGGGTGAGGGAGGTTGGGAGGGGACAGCTCCCTTTGGGTGCTATGGGAAAGTCTGTGGAAACAGTTTAAAAACCTGTAGCCAGTTGGATAACTTGGGAGGTGGTGAACACCACTTAAAGATTCCTGCTAGAAATCTGTCATGCCCCAGGATTTACTGTCACCTAGGTGAGCTAGCCTAGCTCCATCTGGCCTTTAATGACGTGCGTATTTAAGACAGTCAGTCCTTAAGAGGAGGAGAAACCAGGCCTGAAGTTATTGGTCTGAGAGCAGCTGAATTTGTGCCTTCTCCAGAGTATTTGGCTTTCAAGAGGCCCTGCACCCCTTCAATAGCCCAAGTGCCCCATCTCTTCCAGACAGGGCATTTGGAATTCACCTCCCTCCACACAGATCACTTGCTGCTAACTTCTTACCTTCCCAGGATGCGGTATTGGGAATTGAACCTGGGACTTTGTTCATGTTAGGTGAGCTCTCTGCAGACTGAGCTATACCCCCACCCCATTACATTTTAAGTTCTCTTTGCATTTGTTCCTGGTCCACACCTTGCCTCTACCACATAGTAGGAGCGCACAGTGCAGGTCAGACCTGTCTTTCACTACCCCTTTCTCCATTTGGACATTTGGAAGGCCAGGCGTTAGGGAACCCTGGTGTGGGTTAATGCTGACTTTGGTAGACATAGGTCAGACTCCAGGACCCAGCACTCACGATCTGTTACCTGGGACAAGTTGCTAACCTCACTAAGCCCTAGTAGTCTTCTTTAAAGAATTTGAACCAAACCAACCACTTATCTTTCAAGATTGCTTGCAGGAGTCAGTGAGACGAGAAACGAAGGCCCTTTTGAAGTGGGAGATGCTCTAGAAAGGGCAAATGCCATTTTCTACTAACAGCTGGGCATGGTAGTAGAGACTTCTGACTGATGTATAAAATCCCTTTGTTTCCTTCCTCTGAAATTACATTTCCTGAGTTGTCAATGCCAAGTGGCTCGTTTTCAGAGCACACAGGCCATGCTGGGGGCAGGGAGTATATTTTGTGGAGACGCTTAATTGTTCTGTGCTTCCTTACCTTACCCATTGTGTGTGGGTGGTGACACTCACTCCCCCATCTCCGACTTTTGATTTCCAGACATGGCCTTGGAGATGTAGCACGTGGACAGCCTTGTGCCATGAATTTCAGAGCATCAGTTTGAGTTGACTGCTGCCTTTGTGTAGGCCATGGCTCGTCTCCCAGCTGCCAGGAGGGGCTGGACTTCAGACTTTTCTGGGGCTCCTCCTGGGATCTACAAGTCTATGATACCTGATACCTTAAGATGAGATGGGCAGTGGTTGGAAGAGAGCCCATGTGGCATACTTGTTAAGGGGCGGTGTTGGTGCTGCACGTTGGCACAAAAGGGAGGTTGGCTGGGTCTGACATGGGGTCCTGGTACATGGGAAAGAGTTATTGTCAGTTCTTGGCTTTGCCGTTAACTCAGCCTCACTCAGGTCGCTACCTCTACCTCTGCCTAAGCAAATGAAACAAAACAGACAGTCATCATTTATAAATGCAACACTTTTTTTTAAAGTGGGAAGAATGTTTCAATGTGAAACAATAAATGATGTAAAAGCAAACAGTCAATTTAAATCTGTGAAAATTTCCTGGTATCTGTTCAGCTTTATTGTATATGATGTTGTGCGTATTATAATCTGTGTCTTCATAAAGTTCTCACTTAGAAATTTTATAGTGAGGATACCTTTGCTTTACACGTCTCTATCAACTCACATTTTCCTTCATGGATAGTGATGCCATCTGTTATGGGGATGTGAAGACCAAGATAGATGTCTATGGGAATCCGCAGGGTTGGAGAGACACTTTTTTTTTTTTTTTTTTTTTTTTTGGTTTTTACGAGACAGGGTTTCTCTGTATTGTTTTGGAGGCTATCGGTCCAGCCTGGCCTCGAACTCACAGAGATCCGCGGAGAGACACCTTTTAAGCATCGACAGACCACCAGTGGAGAAACATACCCAGGCACCATTAATAAAGCAGGAAATGGAACTTGACCATCTAAATGGATGGAGTCGTGAGGACAGCAGCCTCTGGGGAGGAGGGGAAGAGGGGGAGCCTTAGTCAAGCCTACACATAGTCACACCCAGTGTGAACTGAGGACAAACTCTCGTGTAGTACACTGAAGATAGCAGCACTGTGCCTGTAATCTCAGCACTGGGGAGGCTGATGCAGGGGCATCATAAAATTGAGACTTGTATGGACAATGGTGAGTTCCTGTCCTGAAAAAAAAAAGTATCGCATCAATACAGATCAACAAGGTCAGTAATATTTGCTGCCAATTCTTTCAGCGCTTAGCGAAGAACATTTTCTAAAGACTCTTTGAACTGTGGATTCTATTGCCAGTGGAATTCTATTAGGGAGGCGGAGCGCCTTTATTACTGTTATTATTGTCACTCTGCAGACAGACAAGTGAGATGCAGTAAGTCACTGACTTGCTAAGGTTCCACAGGCAGGTGGTGTCGCAGTAGACTGGAGAGAGTCAACAACCCGCTATCACAGGGGACCTTTTGAGCATTTGAGCTTCTAGCTGACTCTTTAACAAGGTGTTACAATAATGTAAGTAAGTGCTTGGCTGCTCCACCGTGACCAAAGTGGTCTACACCCTTATTCTGCTTCTGTTTTTCTAGCACACTTACTGCTGTTATCACCAAGTTCCTTTAAAAGTTGAAGATACACCGGGCGTTGGTGGCTCGCACCTTCAATCCCAGCACTCGGGAGGCAGAGGCAGAGGCAGGCAGGTCTCTGTGAGTTCGAGGCCAGCCTGGTCTACAGAGCGAGTTCTAGGACAGCCTCTAAAGCAATACAGAGAAACCCTGCCTCAAAAAACAAAACAAAACAAAAGTTGAAGATGTGGTGATCTTGGACATTTATTAAGTCTTAGAGCGGACAAGAAGGAGGAGGAATGTGGAGTTGAAGCCCTGAGAGATGGGATTTAGGAGTAAGAGGACCCCCCCCCCCGTCTAACTCCGCTCTCTGTTCTCTTGTTCCCAGGCTATGTGCAAGCTTGTAGAGCCCTCATGATTGCTGCCTCAGTTCTGGGTCTGCCAGCCATCTTGCTGCTGTTGACGGTTCTCCCCTGCATCCGAATGGGCCACGAGCCTGGAGTGGCCAAGTATAGGCGAGCCCAGCTGGCGGGGGTGCTCCTCATCTTGCTGGGTAAGCTTTCTCTTTGGCCCCCCAACTCTAGTGAATGTGAAGGAACTCACACCTTTCAGTTGCTACTTCAAGAGAAATGTGAAAAAGAAGTCAAGGGAAACCCACAATCTGTGTCTCTTTAGATCATATTCCAGAAGAGTTTAGGCAGGACCCTAAGTTACATCTAGGAGAGGAGCTGGTAGGTTAACAAGAAATGATTACCCAAGGAAAATTAGAAGGAAGGGGGTCACTTCATGTGTAGGCTCCTTAGTATAATCCCTTTAGAATGACTTGTTCGAAGACTTCATAGCAGAGCAATTGAGCTGGAACTTTCTGGAGGTCAGGTCAGGAAAGATATTTTTTAGGAGGTTTCCAGGGCGATTCTGACTTCAATAAAATATTAATATATAACAAAAGGACAGGGAAATAGGAGCATAAAGGAAAAGGTGTGTGTGTGTGGGGGGAGGAGGAAGTAGACCACTAGGTGATGGATCAATATTTGTTTGGTAAGTGTTCATTAATCAAGTATAATGGACACTGTGGTAGGCAATAGGGACCATGATGAAGAAAATGAATGGCTTCTTTGGGTGTGTATAGACACTCCAAGGTATGGAGTCTGGGAAAGTCACCTTAAAATGGCTTGTATGCAATATACAGGGAGGAAGACACCTAAGTCACTGGAGGGGTTTCCCAGAGCACAGGGATCCAGAGAGTTGAAGAGAAGGTGACAGGTCATGGGTTGGAGGGAGGATCAGTCTAAACTCAGGAAGTAATGTGTGCTCATTCAGTTTTGCTGATCACATCTGTACACAGGAGCTTGATCCGACTCCCTGCTGAGGGTCCTGTCTCCTGCACTGCAAAAATAAATGCTGGCAAGGAGCACACATGTATTCTTAGGCCTTGCAAGGTGAAGGCAGGAGGATCAGAAGTTCAAGGTCATCCTCTTGGTGAATGAGGATAGCCTGAGATACAGAAGACTCATTGGGATGCCTGGAATACATCAACACATCGTCTTTAAAAATATATACACACATGCATGCATGCATGCATACATACATACATGTATGTATATATATATGTTGTTTTTTCCTTGCCTTTCACATAAGGGTTCCAAGACACCTCCAAGGGAGACAGCAGGCTTCACCAGCTGCAGACCAGCCTGCGACAAGGAGAGGAACAAGTCAAGTTGAATAGATGTAAACTGTGGTTTTTGTTTTGTTTCTGGATTTTGAGTTTTTGGCGAAGCAATGAGTGGTTTGAGATTTCCCAGATGAATTGGCATTTCTTATTTTTTTTTTCTTTTTGAAACAGAGTTTATGTAGCCCTGGCTGTTTTGGAACTTGCTCTGTAGACCAGGCTGGCCTTGAACTCAGAGTCTACCTGCCTCTGCCTCCCAAGTGCTGGGATTAAAGGTGTGCACCACCACCTGGCTGGCTTCTCTTTGTCTTTTTTTTAAACTTATATTTATGAGTGTGCGCCTGCGCAGAGGTCAGTTGGTTCTAACCCTCCACCCTGTGGGACCTGGAGAACAAGCTCAGGTCCCCAGCCTTGTCAGCAAGCTCCTTTGGCCACTGGGCCGTCTCACTGGGCCTAGTTTTCCCTCCTTTTGAAGGTGGCTAGGTATAGGAAGACATTTGCTAACTGAGGAGCGTGTGGGTCAGTCCCTGTTTGTCTCCATTCAGTCTGTGGGTGAAAAGAAACCTGAGCCTGAGGAGGTTGCACTCGGCATCAGCTCCCCGAGAGACTGGGATGGAGGAATTGCAGTCCAGTCCTAGCCTCACCTTCTGATCGCTGCCTCTTCTGATCGCTGCCTCTTCTGATCGCTGTCAGATTTCTTTCTCAGCAGCTCTCCATTGGCCTTCCGGTTTCATGTTGTCTTGACTGGATGGAGCTGGCTCATTGTTTCAAGGGTGTTATCTGCTTCATGTCTTCTCACCCCCAGCCACAAGAGCCTTGTTTCCCACCCTCGGGGATGGGTGGGAGAAGCTGCAGTGAAGGCTCCCTTTGTGTGTAGCCTGGGATGTTTTTCTCTCTTCGCTCTCTGGGGAGAAGCGGGTCCTGGGCCCATGCTCTGTCCTGGGGGTCACTGAGATGCCCCAGCTGAAGTATGGGGGTCACTGTGATCCCCCTGCTGAAGTATGGGGGTCACTGCGATGCCCCAGATGAAGTATGGGGGTCACTGTGATGCCCCAGATGAAGTATGGGGGTCACTGTGATGCCCCAGATGAAGTACGATTGCTGAGCAGGAAGTTGAGGCGGAGTTGGGGGGGAGCTGTCACAGCCGGTTCTGATGTGGAAACTGAGCACGGTTCAGTTCTTTCTGGCCCTGAACATCTCTGACTATTTTTCTGAAGGCGTGAAAGAAAACCTGCTTTCTGGCCAGCTCCGTCTTCTAAGCCAGAGGCAGTATTCGAAGAACGACAGAAGCTCAGAGCTGGGGAGGACCGAGGGGAATCTAACCTGTCAGTTTTCAAGCCACAAGGCCCTAGACCCTAACGTTTTTTCATCTTGTCGGTTGGAGTCAAACCAACCACCCTGAACCAGGATTCCACTGGCTTCCAGCAGCATCACCTGGGGCAGCTACTGTCTTTGAACAACCAAGCTTCCTTCCCAGCATAGTGGGAACAGCAGTGAAGCATGGGAAATATTTAGCATGCCATCTGGCACATAGTAGGTCATGGTTGCCATGGTTATGGTTGTTTGCTGGAGGAAGAGCCAACCCAATCATGTGTGCATCTTGCACAGAGCTGAGGAGGAGTGGCACAAAATTGCACTTCCGGAAACATCACCTGCATCCCCGACTTAGTGGAAATGGTCCTCCATAGAAACGAGAATGTGGGCACCCACAGTGGAGACCGTCACTGTTCCCTTCATGAAGGACTCCTTGCTCTGATTAAGTTCCTTCTTCTCTCGCTGCACAGCGGAAAGCCCTTGAGCTGGATGTCTCTCAGGAGTGGGCAGGGAAGAACCGGTGCTTGGCTTCCTCAGGGACTTCTTTCATCTTTTCTTCTCTCCTTTAAACATCCGGGCCTGGTGGCCTTATTTATGGTGGATAAAGTTGTTTCAGCTGCAAACTTTCGGGTTAGTGGTGGATTGTACTAGAATCAAGGGTGTGGGCAAGTGTGAGATGAGCTGCTTGTTGTACTTACAGCTTTCCTACAGGGAAAAGTGAAGTTCTTAATCTAGGCCGAGGAGCTGGAGAAACCTTCTGGGATTGTTTAATGCACGCACACAAGACCCTCATCTAAATAAGAATCCCTCTGTGTAATAGAAATGATGGGGCTTCTCAGTATGGCAGTGACTCTGATAGCAAACAGAGACCCTAAATGCTGTGTGAACCCTTTCTAGGATTTTTCTTTTTTGAAAAATATCAACAAGTGCCTGGATCTGTGGTATAGTGTGAAGCAACTGGGACTAGCTTCAAACCCTAGCAACACATACGCAAACAATAAATAAGAATAAAATTAAATTTAACAGATAACCGTGAGACTTGTTTGAGAATGCGGTAGGAAAAAGTAGATGGTGAAGCGTGCAGTAAAAACAACAGGAAAAATGTCAGTGTTGAAAGCTGGCCAGGAAAATAATGGACTCGAATATTCCACTGACTTGATGACGGTATAAATGCTAGGCTTTCCTGACCATCACTGTGTAGGAACATGACCATTGTTTTAGGGAACAATAGGCAAGAAAAGAAAAGAAAAGCTCAAGCCTTTCTAGATCCAGATGGGAAAAGAACAGCAAATAAATAAACGCCACAGTTCACTGAGAATTATTACTTGTTACTTTATTCCCTGCTCCCCAATCCTGTGCGTGGGTTTCAAACTTATCATCCCTGTGCGGCTCAGCCTGTTCCCTCCCCACCGTTCTTCAACATTTCCTTGCCCCGCCGCCCAAGGCCTTAGGTGTTTCTCGTGACTATCTCAGAGTACTAGGAGATTACAGGCAGAACACTCAAGTCATTTCATGGAGCTTTCAAAAGTCCCTGTGGTGCCTGGTGAGGGTGCAGCAAAGCCCGTGAACTCAAGTGCCCATCATGGAAGAGGGGATGCAGGGTCTGGGGACTGTCCACATTTGTTGTCCTTCTTTCTCTGGTTTTCTCTCATTTGTTACCTAAAAATCTGGACACATCTGCATTGATTTTATTTAATTTCATCATATCTTTTTTACCTGTGTGTGCATGTGTGCATGTGTGTGTGTGTGTGTGTGTGTGCATGTGTGTGAGTGTGTGCGTGTATGTGAGTGTGTGAGAGAGAGAGTGTGTGAGTGTATGTGTGTGTGTCTGTGATGTGCACCTGAGAGGGTATAAGGAGAGCCTTAGTTGTACTCTACCATTTTTTGCCTTATTCCCCTGAGACAGGTTTCAATCAAGTTGGAGCGAGGCCAGAGGTCAGCAGGTTCCAGGGACCTTCCTTTTCTGTCCTCTACAGTTCTGGGGTTACAGGCACAAGTGGTTACGCCCAGATCTTCACATGGGTGTTGGGGTCCTCATGGTTGTGCAAAAAATGCTTTTATCCACTGAGCCTCCTTGGTCCACATTTACTTTTCTTTTGCTACTTTTTTAGTTGACACCAATAAGTGTACATACTTAAGAGTTATATATATATGTGTGTGTGTGTGTGTGTGTGTGTTTTGTTTTTGTTTTTTGAGACAGGGTTTCTCTGTATTGCTTTGAAGTCTGTCCTGGCACTCACTCTGTAGACCAGGCTGGCCTGGAACTCATAGAGATCCACCTGCCTCTGCCTCCTGAGTGCTGGGATTAAAGGCGTGTGCCACTAACACCCAGCGGTTGTATTTATCTTATTTACTTAATTCCTGAATATTACTACCTGTTAGTTAACCTCTAAAAAGATGGAAAGATACACTTTAATTTTCCTTTTGTAAACTGTCATCCTAAATACTTTGTTTAGTTAAGATAGATCACGAACTTTTAGCAAAGATGAGTCCTGTCCACTAAAGAACACATTGTATTGCATTATTTAAAAGTTGCCCTTAATACAGGCTAATGTTATTACTCTTTAACAAGGAAGGGGTTTAACTTATGAGAGGGCCAAATCCGGTGTGTGTCTGCATAACTCTCTTCTCTCTCCTCCCCGCCTCCTTTAGTTGCTAGTTTTTCTTTTCCTGAACAGACTCTGCAGTCCTGCCCCCTTCCTTTCTGTGTTAAGGATGGCTTCTGCTGATGGATAAGATCTGAGAGTGAAATTGCTGCCTTGTCTTAAAGACTTAATTTAAAAACAGATTCTGACATAAATAAAGAAGGGAGACATCCGGTTATTCATGTTTCTTTTCCTTATGGGTGACTGAGACTTTTCATAAAAACCTATTATTTTTTCCCGGATATCAGGGCCATTTCAAATGCCTTTTCTTGGGAGGTGGGGTGGAAGGTACAGAGACGCGAAGAGGCCTAGCGAGTCTCTGTCTCTGGAATGCCAACAGTGGTCGCACTTTTGCCACTCCTCCAGATTTGACTTGTGATTTTTAACTTTACTGGTCACTCAGCACCCCACATCCCCTCACCTGTCCAAAGCTACTGCTGACATGGAGTGTATTCTCCTTCGTGTGTGTCTAAACGTTTTCTTTTCCAGTTCAGCCGGAGGTCACTGCAGGTCGGCCTCTAACTCGCTCTCGTGTGGTGGCCTGTCATTTCTCAGTGGTTTTGATGTGGCTTTTCTTTGAGTGCCACAGGAATTCTGCTGGGAAGGAAAGAGCTGCGGGTGCTCATTTGCCTTGGCTTGCATGGATTATGAAAGAGGGAAGATTTTAATGAGGTAAACTGTGAGCTTGTGACTCTCATTGTGTTAAAGTCACATTAAAATTTGTGAATGGGGTGTAGGCATGGGAAAGCAGAACCAAAATGAGCCTGCCTTTCGTTTGTCCGCCCATCGCAGGCATCCGTTCCTCCATCCGTCTTTTATTTGTCCACCCTCTTACGCATCCAGCCCTATGTGGTCACTAGATAGATGTATAGGATTTCCCCCTTGTCTAGTGAGCTTCATAGAGTAAGTCTAACGTCTCCAATACATGCAAAATCAGCCATCAATCCTGGAACACGGAGCCTGACTCTTCCTGGCTGCTTTATCTGTGCTTAGGAAATGAAGGAGCTCTAAATGGATTGGTCTTACTGTATAAAAGCTAAAGTGAATCTGAGTGTTATTAGTTTTCACAAAGGTGAGGAGTGGTGTAAGCATGAATGTGCATCTGTGTTCTATGTATAAATACAAAGTAGCCCAAAAGAATAACACTTAATTTGAAGCACACAGTGTTTTGAAACCAGCTAGCTGTTCGTGGTACAGACTGGTTTTATTGACTCAAATTAGTTGTTTGGGAAAGAGACCTTTCCCCCCTTATACTTCTTACTCCTTCTCCTGATCCTGTCAGTGTGCACTGAAAAACTTTTACTGGTGCTGGGTGTGTACTCTTTAAGACTAGGAGCAGCCTCCTTTTATTGTGTATCTATATCTTGCTCAGGGGATGCACCTAGTCCATTGTTAATAAGAACTGTTGTAGGCCACATGGCAAATGTAATGAGATAATTTCAAATCTTTCAGAATAGATAAGACTTGAATCCTTAGTTTACAGTTGTTGTTAAAGAAAGACTGCATTTCCTCTCTGTGGTCAGATAGTGTAAGTTAGAAATCTTGAGTAGAAACCAGAAAAGTAGCTCGCTGCATTGAAAGCAGCAAGGGCATCCCGGGTGGCACACGTTGAACGGGTGTGTGGTACTGTATCTTGAACTTGTCCATGTTTTTTAGGATGCCAACTGGAAATCTTGTTCTTCTGATTAGTGTCACACTTGGCAACTCTAACCGGCCATCTCAAGTTCAGGTTTTTACTAAAATATCTGTTCTGTCGTGGATGAGAGAAATCAGAACATACTAAAGGGAACCATGGGTTGTTGTGTTTCAAGTCGTGTCATCCAGAAAAATATTCATTAGACACGTGGCCATTTGAATGAAAATCATTAAAATAAAAAAAAACAAACCAAAATTTCAATCTCCCTAGCTCCATGGCATAAGTGACATGACCCCATGTAGCTTGTTGCTACCCTATTTGGTATAGCCAGTCTAAATGTTTAAATTCCTTTAAAATATGAACTATGGAGAAGGCTCAGCAGGTAGAGACACTGGCCTCCAAGCCTGGCAGTTTGAGTTCGATCCTTGGTACCGACATGGTGGACCCCTGAAACTTGTTCTCTCCTCCACACACACACCCTGACAAGTCTGTTCACTGATATACATACTCACATGCAGTAGATAAATTAAAATGTAATAAAAAATTAAAAGCCTTGACTAGATGAACTATTTTTACCCCAAGAACTGTCCATTTGTGTGTTGGTGTTTTGTGACCATGAATGACACCACACAAATGCAGATCCTTACCTGGTCCTCTGTCACTACCTAGCAATGTTCACTCCAACAAGAGAAAAGGAGTAACTCGTCCAGGTCTTTGTAATGTGGATTGACTAACTCAAGAAAATGGTGTGGAAAACTGAGAAGGATACCATCTTGTTTCTCAGTTTTGAAGAGCCTGATTATTTACTCATTCATCCAGGAGACACTGAGCTGAACATTGAGTTTCTACACATAAATAAGGCATGGTCCCTGCCTTCACAGAACTCAGAGCATGGGGTGAGCAATAGACACATAAATCCATAAGTCTAACATGATTAGGTAAGTATAATAATAGAATTATAAATGTAGAGATGGGGATGAGGCTCAGTTAATAGAGCATGCTTGGCAAACCAGGAGGTTCCATTTCTAGTACCCCTTAAACTGGTTGTATTAGCTCATGCCTGAATCCTCAGAATTCTGGGGATGAGATTCAAGGTTATTTGCTATATAACATGGCTAGATAGTGAGTGCAAGTTCATCCTGGATTATAGGAGGCCTTGACCTGAAGAACTCAAAACAGCAGCAACAAACACACACACACACAAATGGAACCTAAACTAAAAGTAACACGATGTGTAAGTAAAAACAAACACATGGGTTTGGGGTTTAAACGATTATATTAAGTCTTTACAAGGGAGTCTTTACAAGGGCATTTGTCTGCTACCTGTTGAGAAAAACAAGGACCAGAAAACCATTGGACATAGCCCATTGTAAGTCAACTCATTCGATAGGGCAGAGGTCGCCAAATGAGCAGTGCTTTGTGTATTGGCATTTTTGTAGCTGATTGAAAGGGCTGTGTCTGTGGCGTGAACTTGCCTGACCAGTGCACTTGGTGTGTGATGGGTGTGCCCACTCACCCTCTCTCCCTGTCTCTGCAGCTCTCTGCGCCATTGTGGCCACCATCTGGTTCCCTGTATGTGCCCACCGCGAGATCACCATCGTGAGCTTTGGCTACTCGCTGTATGCAGGCTGGATCGGGGCTGTGATGTGCCTGGTGGGTGGCTGTGTCATCGTCTGCTGCTCCGGGGATGCACAGTCCTTTGGAGAAAACCGTTTCTATTACTCGTCTGGCTCCAGCTCACCGACGCATGCCAAGAGCGCCCACGTATAAGAGGGCTGCTCCGCTGCCCACCGAGGTGCTGTAGATGCTGGGCCTGGGGCCCTGGGTTTGCTCGCCGCAGTGGGGGAGAAGCCCACTCTCTGCCAGGCACTGAAGCCAAAGGTCTAGAAAGCATCCTGCCTGGTGGTTTGCAGTGTAACGCCCCATCCATCCCACCACTTCTTGGTTCTTAAAAGAAATCTCTAGCTCAGATAATGCCCACATAGTTTTCTCATGGTGTTGCCCGCTGTTAGCTTTTTCCTTGGGCATTCCATTGTTGTTGATTAAAAAAATATTTTGTTTCTCTCTTAAATTCAAATGTCTTGGGAACATTGCTGACTTGGGTGTGGATTGGGAGAGAAATAAAAGACAGTGTTCAAACGGTTACCGATGACAATGGAAGCCTCATAGAGACACCTCTCTGTTTTTTCTTCCCTCTTCCGCTTCAAGGTCACTTACACATAAGAGATAGAAAATGATAGACTTGGGAACACGAGTGGGAGGGACTTGGGAACTTTCCCTCTATGGGAATGCTTCCCTTTTATAAGTTGTGGGGTTGGGACTCTTTCTTAGTTTGTGATTTTACATTTATCTGTACATACTTTTTCAAGATTGATCGTTTTTTATAACCATGGGTTTCCTGAAATTCTCAATTCACCAATATGAAGGAAATGAACCAAACAGACTTTAATATGCAGTAAGTAACAGTTCGAAGATTATAACTTTAACTGACCCGTCCGCGATTTCCAGGTTTGTATGCTGCAGTTTTTAATTCTACAGTTGTGTGTGCTTCAAATTAACCCATTTGAAAAGCGTTTCTCCCCCTTCCATCTCTGTTCCCATTCTGTTAGCAGTCTTGAGGCGATGTTGTTTAACATAGATTTTACTGTTGAATTTGGCTTCCTGGGTGTAAACACGATGGTCTGTCAGTATCCGAGACTCGGAACACTCCAAACAGGGTTGGTGCATTTTGTTCAGGTAAAATCCATGCAATAAAATAACCAAGTGTCTCCCAAACTGGTCTTTAGTCTTCTGTTATATTCAGAATACCATCTGATTAAAAACAAAACAAAACAAAACTCAGCAAATTAATTTGTGATCCCTGACTAAGAACAAATCGTTTGGGGTTGGAGAGAGGGCTCTGTTGGTAAACTGGTTAAGCCCTGGGTTAAGTTCAGTTATAGTCAGCCAAGCAAAGGGTTGGTAATCCCAGTGTGAGAGATCTTGTTTCAAAAAAAAAAAAAGAAAAAGAAAAAAAGAGCCTGACATGGAGGTTCATGCTTTGTTTTTTCCTTCCTTGAGACAAGGTTTGTTTGTGTAGCTCTGGCTGTCCTGGAACTCACTGTGTGGAGTAGGCTGGCCTCACATCGATCCACCTGCTTCTGCCTCCGAAGTGCTGGGATTAAAGTCGTGCACCATCACTGCCTTTAATCTCAGAATTTGGAAGGCAGAGTCAGGGGAATATCTGTGAATTCATCTTGCTCTGCAAAGTGAATTCCAAGACAGCCGGGGCTGCATAGAGAGACCCCCATCTCAACAAAACAAAAAACTACCATAAAAATATGAGTGATATGAGTGGTTGAGGGAGATGCCTGGCTTTAACCTCTAGTTTCCTGCACACACACACACACACACACAGAGAGAGAGAGAGAGAGAGAGAGAGAGAGAGAGAGAGAGAGAGAGAGAGAGAGAGAGAGAGAGAGAGCACAAATGATTTTGGATTGCCTGCCTTGGCTGGTTAAACGTTATACTTTATTCACTGTATCATGGTGGACGCACATGACCATGAAAATGTGGCCTCCCTGTTCTCTAGGCTTCTTAAGTATGACTTTCTTGTCTCCGTGTCAGGGTAAACGTGTAGCCACAAGAGCCAAGTCATAAGCACAACACAGCCCAACTATGGCTTCAAACACTTAATGAAAAGACTGGCTAAGCCTCAAGGGAGCCTTGAACAAATGAATTTTATTAGGTTTTAGTTGTAATACCTAGATGTGTTTTGTCCAAACATGCACAAGGCAGTTTGGACAAAGACACGTTAAGTGTGGTTTTATTTACTTATTTTCTGTTTCAGAAACTGTCTGGTTATAAGCTTGCTTTAAGAGACCAGATTATAATATATTTTGGCTTTTTCTCCCAAATTATTCAGGTTTAGGAGAAGGCTCAGAGGATAAAGGGCTTGCCATGCAAGCCTGAAGGTCCAAATCCTAGCCTCCAGAAGTCGTGTAATAAATAGCTCGAGTAACAGCTGGAGGCACTAGTGCTATAACCCCAGTGCGCCTGCGTCGGGAGACAGAGGCAGGGATAGGGCAGTTACCGGAAGCTTGGGGATCAGCTAGCAGCAGTGAGCCCAAAAGACCCAGACTCAAAAAGCAAGGTTGAAAGAGAGGAAGGACATCCACGTGTGCCATCACACATGTGATCCCCCAAAATACACACACACACACACACACACACAGATGAAAATGCTAATTCCATTACTGAGTATAGTGCATCCTTAAGATCAACAAACATGCTCTTTGGAAATGCCCTTGCCCAGATACCACAGTAGAAACGATTTCTAAGTTACTTATGCAGAAAAGGCCTCCTTCATGTTAACAAACATGTTTGATTTGTTAGGATCCAGTGTTTGTAAGGCTGAGTCACTGCCCCTGTCAGGGCTCCAGGGTTATGAGTGAGAAGGACAGACAGCCCGTGGAGAGAGTGGGCACACAAAGCTGGAGGCCTCCTGTTCTAACCAGTCTGAAGCACCATCATGTTCTCTGTCCTGGGGGCTTGCGCTTTTTTCTCTCCTGGATCTTCCCCCGAGGCTGCTGCGAATGAGGCTTTAGTCTCCTCAATGATGTTGCCTGACTAATGGAGGAGCGCATGTTGCAGGCCATGCCTGAAGCGTTAGGGCTCATTACCAGTTTGTGGTAGGAGACTAGATGATCTTTGCGAACACCACCATCCAACAGCAAGCTGTGAGCCATGTCTGGACCTTGAAAAATTCTGACAGCCTCATTTTAAAAAAAAGCTAAAAATAAACAAGTGCAATGAATTTCAATATATTTTATTTAATGTATTCCATTCAAATCATTCCCATTTCAGTATGTACACAGCTATCAGATTCTCCACAATGTTCTCTTGGTATTAGGATTTTGGGTTCTGGTGTGTTTTATACTTACATTTCATCTCAGTTTGGATCAGCCAGATTGCAAGGGGCAAGTAGCCATGGGCTAGAGGCCATTGAATTAATTAGCCCAGCTACAAAATGATAGATTCTGCCTCTATGATCCTAAAAGGAATTAAATTTTATTTTATCTGCTTTGCTTGAGTTCCATTAAAATGTGGCCAATACATCTTTTGAACAGTCAAGGCAAATCTTAATTCATGTGGTGATCCCCCACAAGCACACCCCAAGTGGCAGTCTCAATATACTGTCCACTTAAACCAGGAAGCCCGAGGTCTTGGGACCTGGTCCTGAAGGAGCTTTCCATCTTTAATTCCCCCAGTCCCTGCTCTTTGGATGAGTGGAGTGTTTGTGTGGCTTGTGAAAGTCAGGCAGCCACTGTACAGAATGGAAGGGACTTAAGCCTATTTAAACATAAAGCCTTTCCTCAACACCTAAAGATCCCATCACTCTAGGGGGTCGGGTATTCACTTTCTTCTCTCCTGAACGCTCACTCAGAGGATCTGAGTTCAGAGTCAAGTGCATGGATGTTTTTGGGTGTGTGCTGTGGCCACTCTGCTGGGGTGGCGTCCAAAATACACTTCGAGACACAGTGGACTGAAAACAGTTTCTCATGTTTTTCTGGAGCGCAGAAATCCTGTCCTTTGTCCCCTCTTTGATGATCACTGGAGACAGGATGATTTTGAGAGTGAGACCATCAGTTCTCCAGCCTGTTTTGAGTAGACAGCATGGAGGGAATCTTTGCATTGAAAATAAACCAGTTCTGTTCATGCTTTCCAAGAACTTGATAGGAACCAAATTACAGCCGAGAGTGTTTCCAGGGAAGCGCTGGATTTGGAGATGCTGGTGACAAGGCTGGGACAAAAGGAGAGGCCTGTGAGCTTGGAGAATGCAAGTTACACACCCGTGCTGCCTGGGTGGCTTGTTGTAACAATAGAACAAGGTCCGGCTGTCTCTTCATGCCTCTTTTCTTGTTTTAATTAAAAATAACCTGCGTGTCAGTGTTTCTCTATACAATGTACACAGTGAACTGCAGCATCTTAAATGTTTGGCAGGACATTCATGCTCATGACATCACACGCTGCGAGGACAGGGAGGCCACTGTGGGACTGGCCCTGGGGATGGGTAGCATCAGTGCAGCCTTTGAGATGGCCCCACAAAAGAGTGTGTGACAGCCAGATGTGCGGCTCATGGAGACTGAAGCGGGATTGTGGGAGGAACGTTGGCACATGCTGCTCGTGGCTTGAATAGCAGCTCTTGAGGAATCTATATTTCTTTAGCTCATGTATACCCAGAGCTCAGGCGCTGCGGCTGTGTCTGGAAGAGGGAGTGGAGATGGGGGCACTTGTCACTACTTCATGTCCCCTTGTAGAAATGAAAAATGTGGGAAGGTGAAGCCATTCCCAGAGGACTGTGGAGACCAAGAATCACATCCAGGGAGGTTCCAGAACAGTGGTGGCACCCATTGTCACAGCCCAGACTTCTTCTTTTGTTTAATTAAGGCTGTTCTCCCCCCCCCTCTGTGTAACCCAGCTGTGAGTCTTGTTCAAGTGCAGATTCTGATCAATGCATGTGGTCAGGCCTGAGATTCTGCATTTCTTAAAAATAATAGCATGGGGATTCTTGTTTTTCATTTATTTGCATGTGTGTGGTCACACGTATACCACACTGTGCATATGGAGGTCAGAGGACAGGGGACCAGTTCTCTCCGTCCGCTACATGGACCCCAGGGATTTAGCTCAAGTTGCTGGACTTGGCAGCAAGCACCTTTCCCACTGAGCCATGTCACTGACCAGGATCTGCCTCTCAACCAGGCTTTCAGAACCTGCTGTCTCTGCTGATCCATTCTGGCACCTGGGGTGACATCCTTTCTAAGCTGAACACAGGCTGTCCTTACACAAGTATGTCACAAGGGTGCCTCTTCTGTGCACGTTCCTGGGACTCAGTTGGTGTCTTTCTGAATAATTCTGGAGCTTTGTTGGCTGATAATTGTGGTGTAGAACCATTCATTTGACTTCAGGGCTTTTGTTCTTCATGAAGGCATTTGCTACTCTGTAGGGTGACTCATATATATAGGTGAACTGTCTCATCAAAGACGGCCACTTAAGGTCTAGGGATTTTGTGTGCCAGTTGGTGTCACACAAGTATCTTGATAACAACTGTGGTGGAGTTTTTATGCCAAACACTACAAGAGTTTCCTCCCGCTGACTCCCACTTTCTGGGTAGTCATGAAACATCAGTTCTCCATAGCCCATCTCCAGGAGAACCACAATTAAGTTAATGGAGCGGATGATGCCTTAATTGTGAGAGTCACATCCCTCATTTTCTTTAAGTTCATATAAGGGAAGGTAGAGAGAACAAGGAGAATGTGGGGAAACTGAGGAAGACAAGACGAGACCAGCTGGTCGTCAATTTGCAATTGTGCCCTCTACTCATGGTGAGTGTGAAGACTTGTGTGGCCTGGACAGGTGGGAGGCTACTTTCCCACCTTTTACAGCAAGCCCAGATCTTAGGTTTAGAGAACAGGTGGAAAACTCCAATACCGGGCTACCAGGCTGGTGCCTAGAGCCACCCTGGTCTCCCCCACTCCTCTGTACACATTTGCTATATTCGTTGTTCTTAATCTGGTTTCCTGAGAGTTTGGCCTTCCTTCCTCCCTCCCTCCCTCCCTCCCTCCCTCCCTCCCTCCCTCCCTCCCTCCCTCCCTCCCTCCCTCCCTCCCTTCCTTCGTTCCTTCTTCAAGACAGAGTTTCTCTGCAGCCCTGGCTGTACTAGAACTCACTCTGTAGGCCAGGCTGGCCTTGAACTCACAGACATCCTCCTTTCTCAGTCTCCTGAGTGCTGGGAT